AGTAGTAGTAGTAAGAGCAGTAGTAGACCAACAATCTCAAATCGTATATGCATTGTCTGTATTGAACCCGAAAGCCATGAACCCTCGACATAACCCTCAATGCATTACGACGAACAAGAAGAGTCAATCCAAACCCAAAAGACTGGGCTTCCGAGCCATCAGCCCCGGTGCCAGCGCAGTTTGGCTGTTGGAGCCCTGGAAGAGGTTACTCTTGATTAGAGCTTAAGGAGTGTTTAGGAAGTTTAGGGACTATACAGACTTTCAGGGAGCCGCATAACCTTCGGGATCGGGGGCCTCAGGCTTGTTCAAACGACCCAACACTGCCAGCAACAGCATGGCAACCCCTAAATACCTTCCCACCCACCCCTCCACCCCAACTGCTCCCTGCCACCAACAACAGTACCAGCAACCGCCCCCCCGGCGGCGAGCCCAAAGCAGGCTTGAAATCTACGTCCTACCACAACTTTAAGTTTCAGGGCGTTGTTCGCATCTGCTTTGTGGTATGGCCCCAGGGCAAGTTAAGTAATGTAGGAACCTGAGTAAGAAACNNAAACCCTGGTCCTATAACCCCCAAATCAATTAGTAGGGTTCATACAAAAAACCCTAAGAAAGACCCAAGGTTTCTTAATCAGGTGCTTACATCAGCTACATACAATACAAGTATTTTTTGAGTGGCTCAGGGTCCAGCATGCAGGCTCTGCCATCTTTGCCTAAGTATGCAGTTGCTGTGCGAGTCTTTTGCATGATATGATAACATGATCTATCGGGCATGTTATAGGGAGAGAGCGAGCAAGAGAGAGAGAGAGAGAGAACCCGAGAAAGAGAGCATGCGCTTAGTTTTCGTCGCAGAAGAGTGCAAGGTTGAACCCCTTCCCTTCCGAATACTACAGACTACAGGGGCCTTTCTGGTTCGAACAAGTTTTTTGGGGGTAGACCGGCTAAACCCTGAACCCCACATGTGTAGTATAATCATAGACTAGAAGATGATCTTCGTAATTGGTCAGACAACTATACATAATGAAGGCACAAGGGCTTAAATCCAACATGTAACCGAAACCTACTCGCAACAACAACAACAACACCGATTAATGCTTTGTAGTAGTCTTATTCCTCATGAACGAAGATAAACCCGAGACACCTGTCAACAAAACCTTTCTGGTACGCATACAGCAAGATATGGAAAATCTCTGGTACCCTGCTCTCATTGTTATCAAAGTGATTATTCTTGTCATTCTTATTATTGTTCCTACTGTGATTGTGATATTTGTTCGTTGTCGTCCGTGTTCAAGCACTTAGGTTGTGGAGCAGGGCCCGTGAACCCGTTGATACAAGCACTTAAAAGGACCCGGCCTTCCCATGGTGGTAGAAGGAGAACTCGTTTGGGTCATTGGCGTCGATCGCCCCGTCTTGGTTCGCATCCATCAACCTTTCTTTGGGACAGCGCTTAGGACTTCGGTTCTAGGGCCCTAAACCCTAATCTAGGCTTGGGACAAGTTGGGTGCCGGGCCTAATGGCTGCCTATACCCTAACCCTAAACCCTAAACCCTAAGTAGGAGCCTCTAACCCGACTCTTCTCCGAGCTGTTCTACTTTTGATGCTCTACAGTCTTATCACGTCACAACCCTAAACCCTAAACCAGGGGTTTAGGGACTATGGGCTGGGATTTGGGCTTTGGGTGTCGGCGCTAAGGTCTCAGGCTTGAAGATCTGAGTTTCTTGGGAAATCGCTTCTGGATCCGGTTCAGACTCGGGCCCTATTTGGGTTTCGTGGCAGCACCCGGTCGAAGCTTCAAAGTAATGTAGGGGCCTTAAATAATGAGAATAGGGATTTGGGGTCGATTACCGGGTCTCAGATACTAAGTGTAGGAATGACAAGGAACCCCCAAATTAGTATAATAGGTAATTATTAAGGCCGCTACATTACTGGAACTCGTAGCACTTTGTAGAAGAACATGCATTCTCGAGTTCTGTAGCACACCCAACTTAAATATTCGCCGGCAATCCACCCTTCTGCTGCGTCTGTCTATCGGTCTACACATGTATCTTGCTGACTTTGTTGCTGCTGTTTCGTGGTCTACCAGGCATCTTGTATCATGTTGAAGAGCTCGCTGCTGGCATTGTATAATTGAATCTTTGCTGCATACACGGCTAAACCCAAAGTGCCACAGTTTCACAAAGCCCGCCCAGTGCTTCTGCGACAGAAGCTGCAATTCAACATGGACTGAGCGCAGTGCGCGAAGAACTTGCCACCTGACCAGTTGACCTCGAATGGCTTTGGGCTGAGCTCCGACAACAGCCCCAAAGAATAATCGTAGACCCAAGCCCTAACCTAAACCCTAAACCCGAAACCCTAAACTCCTAAACCCCTAAACCCCTGAACCCTATAAACCCTCAACCCTAAACTCAAGCCCCAACCTCATGGCTCCCTGGAGCACCGAACCTCGGCCCGAAGCCCTGGAGCCCGGAATCCAAACTGTACACCCTGTATTACCCCCACAGAGCTTTGGGGTTTAGGTTTAGGGGTTTAGGGATTAGGGGTTTAGGGTTTAGGGTCTTAGAGCACTGAACAAACCCCAAAAAATCTCTGAACTCCTAAACACCGGTGCCTGACACAAAACCCCTAAGGGCAAAGTCATAAAGCTTGACCTTTGCGCTTCCCATGTCTGCTCCGCCAAGGTGGATGTCTCTTGCAGGCGAGATGCATAGACCCGTCCGTCCTTGCGTTCGGGAAGCAGCGCTTTCAGGGTTAAGAGGTTGAGGGCTTTAGGGCTGAGCGGCTTAGCTTTTCGGGTCCAGGGCTTTACAGGGTTTAGGGTTCAGGATGCTCTCCTTGCCTTGGGATTACGCTTTGGCGGATCACATGGTTCAGATGCTTATCACCGCAACGATGACTTTCAGCTTCCTTTACAGTAAAAGCAACGTGGCTGTAGTGGCGGTAGTAGCAGCAACAGTCGCTTTAGTAGGAAGACGTCGTCGTCTGTCGTATAGAGCGCAGAAACGCAGATGGCGTAGCAGCAGCAGCAGCAGGGGCAGCAGCACTAGCTGGCGCGGTCGTCTTCGTCGTCCCAGGTGTCACACCGCCAGCAGAAGCCCCCTGAACCCTAAACCCCTCAACCCTAAACCCCTAAACCCTATAAACCCTGTAGCACCAACATTCAAAAGCAACCGCAACAGCGCTACTAGTGCAAGCGCTGCTGGCAGCTTCTATAAATGCAACATAAACTTCGAGCAACAGTGCTATGGCTGCTGCAGCTCCGCTGGTGGCTTAGGGTTTAGGATTTAGGGTCAGTTTAGGGTTGTTCAGCCCATTTCTCTGATTAATGCCGAGATTCTGCAGCAAGGGTCGGCTGGCTCCACATACTCGGGCAGCAGATTTCCGCTGGAGTGTTGCCTGTCGAAGCGTGGAAGTCTTATCTTGGCTGTGCACTTCTTTTTGTCTGTGTAACACTTTACTCTCGAGGAGGTGATAACTATGCAGCAGGTTGAAGCCTTACATGCCTGCTCAGTTCGTCTGATGCAAAGAGCAAGGTCAGAGGAAGATCTGTCAATCGTCTTAGACACTCCCAAGACCAGACTCAGACATCAACCTCTGCAGAAAACTAATTGGAAATCACAACAAACCGTAACACGAGGGCTGCTAGGTTACTCGCTTTTGGGGGACAACGCGTGGCACCGAACAGACAGTGAAGCCCAATCTGGGAAACACTTAAGTGAGGAAATGACCGCATGGATGACGGCAAAGGGGCTTCCAGAGTCCAGGTGCGCCTCTATTTGGATGTATCAACATGAAGCCCCCTTTTGGCAACCAAACTTAACCCGATACCATGAACCCCAAAGCCTTCCATCAACCCTTCAAACCCCTAAGCGCTAAACCCCTAAACCCCTAAACTCCTAAAACCTAAACCACTAACCCTTTTCGCAACCCCTTGGGCCAAAATGGCAAAAAATCGCGGATGCATCCGAGGGGCCTGCGCAGGAGAGCGAATACTCCTCGGAAGGGTTAAAGTTTACGGCCTAGGGCCGTTTATGGTTTAGGGTTTTAGGGTTTAGGGTTTGGGGTTTTGGGGTTCGTCATACGTACTTGTTCCCATTGCTGAGTCGTGAAGACCTCCAACAAAAAAGGGTAACAAGGGTACAACTGGGTGACCTAGAACCGCAGGGCTTACTTCGGAGGAGTTTGCTACAGCCACCGCAGTCCAAGCCTCGAGCACAGATGCACATAAATGCCCTGGACCTCAGACCTCCGGGGTGTACCTCGTCAGCACTTTACATGGCTTAGGCTTTAGGGTTCCCCCAACCCTAAACGCTAAACCCCTAAACACTAAACCCTAATCCTGAACCGACTTTTCCCAAGCCTACGGCTTGTGGCTTCAGGCGCCAGCTTTTGGGCACTTCAGGGCCGACCCAAACCTCAAACCCTGAGCCTTGCACAGGATGGACTATGCTTACCTTTGTATATTACATTACACTACATTACACTACATTGCATTACATTGCATTACATTGCATTACATTGCATTACATTGCATTACATCATATCATATCATATCATATCATATCATATCAAACATATCAAACATATCATATCATATCATATCATATTATATTATAT